GAGAGACGCACAGAGAGACGGAGAGACGCACAGAGAGACAGAGAGAGACGGAGAGACACACAGAGAGACGGAGAGACGGAGAGACACACAGAGAGATGGAGAGACGCACCTCGGGCACGTAGTTGTCTCTGCGCTCGCGCTCCTCCTCCTGCAGCTTGATGGAGATTCCTCTGACTGGACCTCTCTGGATGCGCTTCATCAGGTGTGTGACGTACCTGCAAAGAAACACTCATCATTCACACTCTGCTTTACACTAGCTGTGCTTTCACTAAAAGACATGTGTGTCCCTGCAGCACAAAAGCAGTGTTGAGTCGCTGGGGGATATTTGTAGCAATAACCAACAATACATTGTATGGGTCACAATTATACATTATTCTTTTATGCCAAAAATCATTAGGATATTAAGTAAAGATCATGTTTTGATATTACAAGATATTTTGTAAATCTCCTACCGTAAATATATCAAAACTTAATGTTTGATTAGTAATATGCATTGCTAAGAACTTCATTTGGATAACTTTAAAGATGATTTTCTCAATATTTAGATTTTTTTGCACCCTCAGATTCCAGATTTTCAAATAGTTGTATCTCAGCCAAATATTGTCCTATCCTAACAAACCATGCATCAGTGGAAAGATTATTTATTCATCTTTCAGATTATGTATAAATATAAATTTCGAAAAATTGACCCTTATGACTGGTTTTGTGCTCCAGGGTCACATTTTCAAATAGTTGTATCTCAGCTAAATATTGTGCTATCCTAACAAACCATACATCAATGAAAGATTATTTATTCAGATTTCAGATGATGTATAAATCTCAGTTTCACAAAATTGACCCTTTTGACTGGTTTTATGGTCCAGGGTCACATATGCTGATGGACACAGCGAGGGGTCATTAGCCAGCACTCCGTTAACAATATCCGTTTCTCTGCTTTAATCAAGCTTCGTTATGATGAAATAGTGCTGCACGATTATGACAAAAATCATAATTGTCGATTATTCCCTTGAAATTGTAATTGCGATTATTAATTATGATTATCACAATTTACACTGAATGATGTTTATACTAGTGCTGGGCAGTATGACCAAAAAGGTTTATCACGGTATTTTCCAAAATTATACCGGTTTCACGGTACACGACGGTATTGTTTTTTCATGCATGACCGGGTGTTAACCATATCTTCTACTGATTGAGAGGAAATACTGCAGTATATTGACTTAGAATGCACTATTTTACTGTCATGATGAGTGAATATTGTCAAAAAATACCACACTAAATAGTGACTAAACACGACCCATTAATACATGTTCACCAGGAGTCTCTCTCATTTATAATCACGGCATCGTCTGATAAAATCAGCATGCATCTACACTAAAGAGCGGCTATGCGGTGGTTTTGGCTAGATTACTTTTTTGTCTCATGCAGCGCACTGCCTGCGTCTGAGTAACAAACTAAAAAGTGCATGTGATATTAACAGACGAACTACGCTCATATTTATTATTCCAAGCAATCAGTAAGCGACAGCTGCTAGGAAACGCTGTTTTGTACTAATTTATTGAGGAGTCGGCTGCGGTTCTTGCTAAATCTAGTGCTAAAGTGGCACTGGTGTGTGTGAGACGCGGGAGCTGATGGCAGCGGGCGCTGGATATTTGTGGAGGTCAGTGTGGATATTGTGGATGAGTTCTTCTGTGTCATCACGCTCTATTAGTTCTACAGCTTCAGTTTCTGAACTTTCACGCTTAGTAACACATACAGCTGTTCCCTCACCACAGTGCAACAGTGAAAAGAGACCCCTCTCAAACAGTGGCGCGTTCCCAACGTTGTTTAAGCAACATACACCGGTATTGCGGTATTTTCAAAATTAATATCATAACAAAAACAAACACCGGTATTCGGTATGAACCGGTGTACCGCCCAGCACTAGTTTATACCACTGTTTGATGCAGCTGCGTGCCGTATTTTTATATGAAAGTAAAGAAGCTGAAACCTTTAGTGCTTTTCTACAGTATTAAGCCTCAAATGTCGACTATACATCAGACTGCTTTCTTCTTTAAATTATAAAAAAACTAAAAATATGAACGGTATTATAATGTTATACTAAAATTAAAATAATGAGAAAATCTCAGCCAAATATTGTCCTCTCCTAACAAACCATACATCAATGAAAGATTATTTATTCAGATTTCAGATGATGCATAGATCTCAGTTTCAAAAAATTGACCCTTTTGACTGGTTTTATGGTCCAGGGTCACATATGCTGATGGACACAGCGAGGGGTCATTAGCCAGCACTCCGTTAACAATATCCGTTTCTCTGCTTTAATCAAGCTTCGTTATGATGAAATAGTGCTGCACGATTATGACAAAAATCATAATTGTCGATTATTCCCTTGAAATTGTAATTGCGATTATTAATTATGATTATCACAATTTACACTGAATGATGTTTATACTAGTGCTGGGCAGTATGACCAAAAAGGTTTATCACGGTATTTTCCAAAATTATACCGGTTTCACGGTACACGACGGTATTGTTTTTTCATGCATGACCGGGTGTTAACCATATCTTCTACTGATTGAGAGGAAAT